CCAGTGCAGCTCTCACCTGCTGCACGGTGCCCGCCCATGTTGAAAGTGGACCTTGCCTATTCAGCCCATGCACCTAAACACAAGTTTCCTTAGAAACCCCCACGGTCACAACCAGAAATGATGCTCCATCCTGTTAGACTGCTAGTAAAGTTCATCGACACAGCTTCCAGTCAGCCATGGCCGGCTATTGAAGAATAGATGTTATGCCCCCCTAGTGGTTCTATCTGGAACAAAGGGGTTCAGTAAGGGAAATCCAGTGACTTAGCATCTCTCTACTAGACTGTCAGGTCTGAGTTCTGGAGACACCTGGCCCGGGGGTCTCTGAATTACCTGTTTACCATGGCAGTTGTGACTATCGAAGCCCCATGTCCTGTACTGTGTGGTCATTCCTTGTGATTTGAGTGCACAATTTCTTCATTCTGCCTGTAAGAATAGTCATAGAGGAACAGATAAGTACAGTGCAGTATCCTCGGAACACTGATAAAGCAATGAAAACTCCTTTCCGATTTGAGACTGTCTATTCTCCCTTAGATTCCCATAACTCTCAGAGGACATATCCAGGATCCCACTCTCCACAGATAGCTCTGTGGAAGAAACTGATGGTGAGGTCTGTGCACAATGAATTTGATGAGTTAGTGTATGTTGCTTTTCAGAGTCCCTTCCATTGGCCAATGTTTTAATGCTATAGTTAAAAACACCTCATTCTAGTCAGGAGTGATGACTAATCCCAGCCATTGGCAATCTGGAGCTGGAGGCTGTTGACAGGTCTAAATTACATAGTGAATTACAGGATAGTATGGGCTATAGATTGAGACCACAGGAAGGAAGAAGGAAGGAAAGAAGGAAGGAAGGAAGGAAGGAAGGAAGGAAGGAAGGAAGGACAAAGCAAAATGTTTCCTCATCCAGCTCCACCTGCTGACCAGTATCTCCCTCATGATGCCAGGAACTTGGCCTCAGACCTTTCCATACTTGGCTTCTTCTCCTATTTCTCTGAGCTTTTAAAATTGATTTTACTACATGTTTTCTAGGGCTTTCTTGTAATGATAGCATGTAAATATTCTATTTTATTTTTACTAAAAAAATCACATATATCTATGAATACATGATGCTTTGAGATATGTAAATATTATGGAATGCTAATTCAATTATATAATGATGCATTAATTTATATTTAATCTTTTTATACGGGAAGACCACTAAATTTTATCTGCACATTGGGCATGATAGCTCACATCTGTATTGCAGAACTTTGGCTGCTGGGGCAGGAGGTCTAATGTGAGTTCAAAGCAAGACTGGGTTAACATAGTGAGTTCCAGGCCAGCCTATGCTATTGAGTAAGATCATGTCTATAAATAAACAAACAAAGTTTGTCTCTGCGATCTTCAAGTATGTAGTACTTGATTTTGAACTTTATAGTCTTTGTGTTATACTAAAAATCTCTTGATCTTACAAAGAATCTTACAAAGAGTCCCCACACAAGAGTACTGAACCCTGCACATTTGTAATGTCAGGAAGGAGCTAACTGTGAAGGTCAAGTGTGTTCCTCAAGGTTGCAAATGTCTCTATGCTTGAAGAGAAGACTGGAGCCAGATGTTAAAGCTCCTTGGCCTTCCTTCTCTGGTGGGCCAGGCATGGCAGCTATGCTCACTGGGAATCCTTGGCTTCTTTTGTCTTTTCAGACTCATCCAGCCCAGTCAGCCTTCCTGTCCAGTGTTGATTTACACACATAGTTTTGCATCTCAGAAGATTCTGCCAGAATCAGTCACTGTGGTGTATCCTCCCAAATACAAATAATGAGAAGAAGGGATGCAGTCCTGGGTGGTGGAAGGGCAAAAGGGCTCTGTGGCCAAGACCACTTAGAAAACAAACTCCATAAATTGTCTTCACTGGCTGCTTCAAAAGCCTGCTTTTAAGTCACATATTCAGATAAACACAACCTAGTCTTTGGAAAATATCTTAACAATTTTTCTTGTTTTCTAAGAAAAGCTCTCAAGAAATCTATACTTTTTGGTGTGGATAACAGGACCTTCCACATCACACACAGAATCCACATGCCAGTTCTTTCATTCAGAAGGTTGAGTTTGCTCTGAACCCCTTGAAGAGCTAGTGTGGAGGCAAGGGTGTGCCAGCCTGGTCTGAATTTATAATTTAGAGATTAATCATTCTTTATGATCCATGCACTAGAGAAGAGAGCTGACAGATAGCATCCTATGAAAGCTATCTCAAAGTTACCTCTTCTCCACTGAATCAATGTATAAGGGGTGGGGAGAAGGCAAGAGAAGATGTTGGGGTGCAGGGGCACCTCTGCTTGACTAACCCTGCCTTTCTCATTTCAGAATTAGACTTTTTACAGTAGCAACGTGTGGCTTGAAAGAAATATTGGTTTGCCCATGTAGAGTGTTCAGTTCACATACACATGGCACAGCTCTGTTCTATGTACACACCTATGTAGAAGAACTCTAGACCATATTTATAACCGGGACATAGAGCTGATGTGAATTGGTCTTTTCTCATTCGCCTGGAAGATCAACCTTCCCAAAATTCAACACTCATGGATGCAGGAAGCAGTGGGTGTGGGAAGTAGGCTTGGCTCTCATCTATGTCAACTTGTGACTTCATGTTTGAGGCTGCTGACCCTTCCTGGGTCTTTCCTCATCTGTGGGATAATAATACTTACTTTACAGGGTCGATGAGAGGATGAAATAAGTGGGATGCTGGTGTAGCCCAGTGACAGGATGCGTGCTCAGCATGCCTGAAGCCCTGGGTTCGATCCCCAGCATCACTAGAAAAGGAAGCAATAACAGAAAGTACCTAACGCACTGTCTGCTTATGGAATGTTACTTTGTTCTCTGTTAGTTACTAAGTTTCAGTCAGCAGTCTGAGGGCAAAGGGAAAAGCCATGTCATATCGGTAAATTAAGAATGAAACCCCGGGCGGTGGTGGCGCACGCCTTTAATTCCAGCACTTGGGAGGAAGAGGCAGGTGGACTTCTGAGTTCCAGGCCAGCCTGGTCTACAGAGTGAGTTCCAGGACAGCCAGGGCTATACAGAGAAACCCTGTCTCAAAAAAACAAAAACAAAAACAAACAAACAAAAAAGAATGAAACAATTCTAGAAATTTGCCTACAAAGTAGGGTTCTCCCCTCCCTAGGAAGTGGTTTCTTCACCCCGGTTGTGTCCATGATAGCAGGGTTAGCTGATCAGATGTCAGTGGTCAGATGAGCCTCAGATCAATGAGATTCTGGCACTCTCCTCCACACCATTTTTTTTGGGTCGAGAGAAAAACAAACAATATAGAGAAAGGAATCAGAGCCATGCCTCATAAAATATGAAAGATCTAGGGATAGGTAGAAGTGAGACCCATGGAAGATTAAGATCATGGGATCTGGGAGCTGATTTTGTGTGGTAGAACAATAATGTATATACATTTATATCTATGAGTGTTGGGAGCTGACCCCTAGCAGAAAGCGGCTATCATCTTTGCAGCCATCTCAGCCCATATACCCTGACAAGAGACTTGTTTTCAACAGCACACAACAGCTGAGAACACTCTGATAAACATCTTGTTTTTCTCACATATCTTGTTTTGCTGTTTAGTGCCCCCAGCTGCAAGGTGCACATGGTAAAGTGTCTTCAGCTGCATGCCCCTGCTTGTGCTTTTGTATAACCATGATTTCCTTTCAGTAAATGGGACTTGAACAGACTCTGTCTTGTCTCTATTCTTCACTCTCTTTCCCCACTCCCTCTTTTGCTAGACGCTGTTGACTGACCCAAAAGGACCGGGTCATCTGGCCCCAAACGTGGGGTGCAGACCAGAGCATCTGGCCCCCAAATGTGGGGAATGGACCAGGTCATATGAGGGGTTTGGTGTGCTTCACACTGCTCCCAGCACTAAGATTAAGGCCTCATGAAATGACAGCTCTTGCAATAAGAGATAGATAGGTAGATAGATAGATAGATAGGTAGATAGATAGATAGATGATAGATAGGTAGATGGTAGATAGATAGATAGATGATAGATAGATAGATGATAGATAGATAGATAGATAGGTAGATAGATAGATAGATAGATAGATAGAATAATCTGTAGGTACCAGGATGTTGAAATAGAGACTACACCATTAAAAAATATATTTTCCACAATGTCCAGGTGCCCAGTTATAAAGACCTTTTCTGAACCTGGCCAAGGTTACATCTATAATGCCAGAACACAAGAGGATGCTGCAGGAGGATTACTACTTTGAAGCTAACATGGTCTACATAACCAGACTTCCTCAGATTAACAAACCAGTAAGGTGATAAGTAAGTGACCTTTATGATTGAATATTATCATCAAACTGCAGGGAACCTACTGATTCTGTTTTTTTTTTTTTTAACTGAGGAATATTTCACAAGCGACTATAAAAAGTACGTGCAAATATAGATGGGAAGACTGATTCAGAGCATGAGGAGACCTCAGTAGGAGCGGAGGTTTCCAAGCCCATTGCCATAGCTGTCAAGGACACCATGGTTTCACCTCCAGGCTGAGAATCTTTGGTCTTTAGTGAACGTCTTAAATTAAAAGCCTGGGACTGCGATTGTGGCTCAGTTAGGACACTGCCCTTCAAATACAAGGCTTTGGGTTCAATCCTCAGTGCTTTCTAAATCTGTTTTGGTGTTGTTAACATACAACCCATTACTCTGAAGGCGGAAGCAGGGGATAGAAGATGGGATCCTCCTGGGGTACCTAGAAAGTGTGACTCAGCATGGGTCACATAAGGCTCTCATTTGGTATAATATTCTTCCACTTCTGCCTGTTCTGGGTGGGATGTGCAAATACTCTTCAGGCCCTCAGACATAAGAAGCCGCGAGAATGTTTGGCCAGTAGTTATCTGTCCCGCTAGAAAGGCAGCTCAGCCAATTTTGGCGGTGAGTACAGAACCCTGCAACACCAGGCGGAACTCTCACTAACACGCATGCGCAGCTCGAGGAGGGCGCTTGCGCAGGCGCAGAACACCTAACCTAAGGAGACGCGCCAATCCTTCTTGGAACATGGCTCTCAGGCCACAGAGGACTTTCAGGCGGCGCCAGGTCGCATCCAGCGATAGCGATAGCGACGGCGCGAAGGAGCAGAGCGCTGAGGAGCCAGCGGAGCCAGGCCGACCGTCTGCAGGGGACCGAACAGAGGGAGCGGGGCGGCCGCGCGGGGCCCGCAGCGCCCGGGGCCGAGGTCGGGTCTGGGCGAGTTCCCGGCGCAGCCCGGGAGCTGCTTCCCGCGGGGACGGCGGCACAGGTGACCGAGGGGTGGGAAGGGCTCTGTTCCTCAGGTCTGCAGCTCCAGAGGCCTCTGTGGTCATCTGCACCCGCAGTGCGCAGTGCCGGGGTTGCCGGAAGCCTCCTGTAGCTCTTGATGGAGCTTCTCTGTTTGCATCGCAGGTGACCCACACCGACTAGAGCATAGTATAGCCATTGGTCTTCACAGTGAACCCACACCCTCGGAGGAGTCTTGAACGACTCCTCATGCTGTTAGCTGTTAAATGTGGATGAAACTCATATGTGACTTTGGGAGCTTGCCTAACAGTTTTCTAAGAAAACCTGACGGTTATTAAAAGAATAAAACGGACAGGGTTTGGAACATTGTCATTTTTAAAATCATTTATCTGCAACAACAACAAAAGTAGTTAAAAGAAATAATGTAAAACGAGATGCTGTGACTGAGATCAGCGACACTAAGTAAGGACTGTGCCATTCATGTGATTAAATACACAGTCACTTGAGGGCTGGAGAGGCCGGTCGGCAATTAAGATCATTGGCTGCTCTTTTAAAGGACCCGAGTTCGGTGTGTAGCACCAACATGGAGGCTCACAACCGTCTGTAACTCCAGGAGATTAGAAGTCCTCCTCTGACACTGTCAGGCACCACACGCACACACATAGTGTGCTTACATTCAAACAGGCAGAACACTTGTCCATTAATCTTGAAGTCTGGCTTTTCTCTCTACTATTTTTAGACCCATTAAAGAATATTAGTGATTTCTCATATATGCATACTTGTAAATGAAAATTGGATATATTTAATGGTGTACAAGATGCTTTGAAATATGTGTAGACTTTTGAGTTGTTTACATGGGTCAAATGTATTTGTCTTCATTGTGGGAGCACTTAGAATTCCCCAGCCATTCTCAAGTAGAGCGTACAACACATTGGTACTATCTATGGTCACTGTGTTGTATAATAGATACCCTAAACTTATTCTTGTAAAATTTTGTAACTTTTGTCAACATATTCCCATATCAGCTCATATTAACCACCATTCTACTCTGTCTCTATTGATTTCCTTCAAATTGTTTAGATTCTGCGTATTAATGAGAACTTAACATATTTGTCTTTCTGTGCCTAGCTTATAGCACTTAAAATAATGACTTCAAGGTCATAAATGATTCCTTAGTCACTGTCAGGGGCCCTGTTCATCTAAAGTTTGAATGATCTTTTGTATTTGTAACATAAACTATGAAAGTCATCCCTTTACCTTGAGTAAGTAAGTTCCCCCTCTTCCCTTCTAGAGCAGTGGTTCTCAAATTTCTTTGGCCTTTGAACTCACATTGTGACTCTTAAAATTAGAGGTCCCAAATAACCCATGTTTCCATAGATAATTTCTATTTCGTTACCACTATCCTTAAGAAGATATGTACTCAGTTCATTTTTAAAATTAATTTGTATTGCCTCATCAGCAAACGTGAATGAAACTGGCTTTCTTCCCTTTCTTGGTGTGTGGTGAAGAATACAATGACTGTGTGAAAGCTGGTGTCGATGCCTTTGTGCTAAGGCTAGCGCTTTCATCCACCACACTTTTGCCTTATTGCAGTGTCAACCCAGAGAAAAGAACAAGTAACATGCGTGTTATGATCAAAGTAGTCGTGACTGCACGTAGCCGGAGACCATGCTTTGAGAATCACTGCCTTGGCTGGAGGCAGAAGTTGTCACTAACGGCAATAGCTAAGATGTTAGCTGCGGCTTTATCCTTTCCATATTTTATTATGTTTTTACTCTTGTGTACGTGTGTATCCATGTGTGACCACAGTGTCCACTGAGACCAGATGTGTCAGTTCCCTGGAGCTGGAGTTACAGGTAGTTGTGAATTGCCTGACACAGGTGCTGGGAACCAGACTTGTGTCTTCTGCAAGGACAGTATGTGTTCTTGACCTCTGACCTATCTCTCAGACTCTCCATTAAAATGTTTATTTGCGCCAGTCTTTTTTTGAGCTTCATGTAGTCTTGAATTAAAAGGAAATCTTATAAATTGTATGTGTTTATTTTGGTTATTGATTCAAATATTTTGACTTTCTTGCTTCTAATGGTGTCCTCTTAGAATGCAGAACAGCTGATCTCTCAACGGATGAAGAGGAAGGAACACATCCCTTACCAGAGAGTACAGGTGATCAGAGTCCATCGTCTGATAGCTCTTGTTCTCTGGAAGAAAAAGGAGTTTCACCCATAGGTTGGTAATTTTTATAATTTTATGTAACTAACTTAACTAACTAACTTCTTTTTTGCAACAAGGTCTCACTTTGTACCCCAGGCTGGTCATTCTGTAGCCTAAACTGGCCTCAAACTCACCATCTGCCTCCTGAGCCTGTGATGTATCACGTGACCAGCTCTAATAGCTGCACATTGTACACCAATAGTTTCTATTGTTGATAAAGTAGTAAAAAGCTGGCAGCAAATAGGTCATTATTTATTCTATGATATAACTGAGATCAGATAGCTTATAAGTAGCACAGACTAGGCCAAAATCAGGGAGTCCATTCCACAGTGTGTTCTTAACTACTGCGCTTGCTGGGTAGTTCCACCTCATGACTCGAAACTGGTAAGAATTTACAGTGAGAATGTTGCTGATACCAACATGATGTAATATGTCTAAAACCTGAAGGAGGACAATATGTGTAGGAAACTCATAATGACTTGAAGTGGCTTTTTTAAAGAAAGATTGCTTAGTTCAGTTGTTAGCTTAGCATATAACCATGTCTAGGCTAAATCTAGCCCAATGCTCATTAAAACTCTTTCAGATGTTAGTTACCTAAGTCTACTTTGGCATTACACTGGCAAAGTTTAGAAGTTATCATGGGCCTTACTTTATGGCCCATAAAGTCAAAATGTTCCTCTAGCCTTTTAAATGTAAATTGGGTGTTTGTAACTTGTTTTTTGCTATATAGACTTTTTTTCAGGCTAGTGACACTTAAGACCCCTTGAGAAAAGTAGTTCAGTTCCCAGCACCCATGTTGGGCTGTTTATAACCACTCAACTTCAGCTCCAGGGGAGTCTGCCTCGAGCCTCTTCAGGCACCAGCCCTAACGTGCACAAATACACATTCGCACATAAAAATAATAAAATAAATCTTTTTAAAAATTGAGCTTGGTAATAAGCAAATACAGTCCGGGGTAGACTCAGGGTGCAGCACTGTCCAGTAGAATTTTTTGTTATGGTAGAAAAACGTATCTTCACCACAAGTGCAGTAGCCACTGGCCACAAATAGCCATTGAGCTCTTAAGATGTGGATACTATAACTAAAATACTGAATTTTTAATCTTATTAAATTGATACAGTCAGATATGACTAGTGGCTGCTGTGTACAGCAGTGCTTCTGTAGATAGACAATGTGAGGGACTGGTTCTGAAGGGTTGGTTTCACTGCTCTCCTGAGGAGAAGTCAGTCTGGAACAATGTGTGGTGTAGTGTGTAATAATCACAGAGAGTAGGGTTGGTGTATGGGTGGTAAATTCCCTTCAGAGTGCAGGACAGTTCTACAGTAACGAATTGTCATTCCTCCAAATACAGCAGCTAGATAGCAGATGTGCTATTTAAAGAAGATGGCAGGGCTGGGTATGATGGCACAAGTCTGTCATCTAAGCAGAAAGCCTCATGTGTATGAAGAATGTATGTGTTGTATGTTTGGATGACAGGCTGTGAGAATTAGCCAGTGATAGACTATCTGCCTTGAGATGTTCCCTGTAGCAGAGGGTCTTCATACAAAAGAGATGATAGTTGATCTCGGCTTATTAGATGATTGTTTGTCTGCTATGTGATATGTGTGCTAATGTCAGTTATCAGAGAAAGCATGGAGGTGTCTGTGTCTTCTCCGCCCATGTCTGTCTGACATCTACAGTGTGGGAACTGCAGAGACGTGAGGGAGCAGGATGGGAAGCACAGTCTTCCCTTCCCCAAATTTTCACATGTAACTTGGGATAGGATTGCTTTCTGTGATACCAGCATCTCCCCCATGAGCACCAAGTGAGGCATATGAGATCTCTTCCAATTCATGTGCTTCTCTCCAGTACACTTGTGTATTGGAGACTGATGCTGCTTCATAACCCCACTGCACATGACAGTCTCCTGGGAGGCTCTGCAGACAACCCAAGCTCGGCTCCAGGACCAGGCTTCCCACGTGTTTCCAGTCTGTCTCTATGGTTCCGTTTTCAGATGTTGGCTCCCGTGATGAATTTGGAACTTTAATCTACTTTAGACAATAATAACTGTACTTATTATCAGAGACACGTTGTCTTACCTTTTTTTTTACTCCACAACAGAATCATTACCCCAGATTAGGCAAGGTTCAGAGCTCTGCCTGGTCCCTTTGTAAACTTCATAAGCAACATTTTTCTTTTCCAGTATTCATTTAGTTAAAGAATTTAGCAAATGATTTGATTTATACTTTGTTCATTCTGTTTTATCGTGGTTTCTGAGACATGGTTTTCCTGTAGCATTGGCCAGCCTAAAAGTCATTATGATGCCCAGGTTGGCCTTGAACACTCAGCAGTCTTCTGTCCTCAGCTTCCTAATGTTAGGACTGCAGGCGTGTGGCCCATTGCCACACATATTGTATCATGATCACATCATCTGTTAAGTCCTATATGAGAGTATAGGCACACCTGTCCTTTTACCCCCGATAATAATCTTTAACTTAATACTGGTCCAGCTAGATGTGGTAACACTTGTATGTAATTCCAGAAAATCACACGTTCTAGGCCAATTTGTCCTCCATGAGACCCTGTCTCAAAATAGAAACAAATAATTGGGCTAGTGAGATGACTTCTTGAGGGTAAACTGCTTGGCACTAAGCCTAAGGACCTGAGTTTGATCCCTGGGATCCATGTGGTAGAAGGAAAGGACTGATTCCTACAAGCTGTCCTGACATTTACATTTGTACCGAAGTGCTTGCTTTGTCCCTGCTTTTAGTTGAATAAACAAACAAATGTAATCAGACTTTTTGAAAGAACAAACAAGTAAATAAATACTGTTTATTAAAAAGGCATGAATTTTTTTAAAGACAGTTTTTCTTCATGTGTATGTATGAGTACATGTGGCAGGATCAGGGTTGAGGTGTAGCTGAGCTGGTAGACTCAATACCTAGCATGTATGAAGCCCTGGATCTGGCTCCTCAGCATCACAGAAACTAGCCATGCTGGTCCCGTGCATGTGGAAATGCGAAGAAAGAAGGAGGGTCAGACGTGCTAAGCCATTCTTGCCTACATAGCTGCTTCCTGAGATACACGGCACTTAACATCTCTAATGTTCCAGATGTTTGAAGTAGTAGAAATCTCTCTTGTCATCTTATTTACACTGATATTTTCTTAAATCATTTTTTAATAGAGTTAATTCCATGCATGAAGAAACCTCAGTTACTAAATTATAAGAATTCATGTCAGTGAATATATACTATACACATAAAAACAAAAAAATAAAGTTGTATTAAAGTTGTCATTTAGGGGCAGGAGAGATGGCTTAACAGTTAAGAGCACTCACTGTTCTTTCAGAGGACCTGAGTTCAATTCCCAGCACTCACATAGTAGCTTACAGTTAGTTGTCTGTAACTTCAGTTACAGGAGGCCTCTACGTCAGGCTGCTGAGTTTGCCTTTCTTACTACACTCTCACTGACTGCTTGGCTTTCTCATGTTCCTGTCCTGACACAACTTCCAGAAGTGAGAGAGAGCAAAAGGCAAGACGGAATGGTGTCAGCGTATTTCCCAGCAGTGCTAGATCAGGTTCATTCCTGTAATGTGCTTTTTATATCTCTCATAGTAATGTTCTTCCTTGACCAGACTTTGAGCTGTCAATCAAGTTCATCTATGTAAATAGTGAAGTTTAGGAGTGAGGTGCCCTTCGTTGCCTTGAATGCCAGCAGCAGGCACTCTGCAGCAACTCACATACCCACTCAAACATTTACAGATAACATGTGAGCTCACACACATAAAATAAGTAAAAAGCAATAAAAATTAAATAAATGTGATTGTTTACAAAGAAAAAGATACCGATTCAGACCTGAGAATCAAACATTTAAAAACAGTTTCCGGGAGCCTGGGATGTACCAGTTAGCAGAGTGCTTGACATGCATGCATGAAGCCCTGAATTCAGTTCCCAGGACTTGGGAAGTAGGGGTTAGGGGACCAGAAATTGGTTTTCATTGCCCTCTTCATTTGTTTCAGTTAAGATCCCTGATGCAGCTTTTATTCAGGCAGCCCGCAGAAAGCGTGAGTTGGCCAGGACCGCAGGGGACTATATTTCATTGGATGTAAGCCACCCCTCCACCACTTCTGACAGTAAGAGAAGGAATGAAGACGACCTGGAGAGTGATCCTGATGACCACGAGAAGAGAATACTGTTTACCCCAAAGCCTCAAACACTCCGACAAAGAATGGCTGAAGAAACAGGTATGTATTTAATTTTATTTACCAGTGTATAAAGATCATGACATTTTCATTACAGTAGTGAACTTGATCTTTGCTCATTACCATGCTTTCTATTATTTCTCAAAAACTGATATTGGAGCTGATGCAGCTCAGTTGGCAGAGTCTCGCCTAGCGTGCATGAAGCCTTGTGTTTGAATCCCAGTACCACATACACCAGTTGTGATGGCTCATTCCTGTAATCCTAGCACATAGTGAGAGCTGTCTTACCCACCCCACCCTAACCCTGCCTTCCCGACACAGACACACAGACACACAACGGGGCGGGGGGGGGCACCAAGCTGAATCCCCAACGCACATGTTTTAAAGATTCTTGGTATTATCATTATTAATTTGGTCCACAATATCATGGCTTTTAAATGCTATGATTCTATCTTATCATATTACCTAAGGATATGTGTTATGATGTTTACTAATGCTGGATCCTTTCCTTGATTTTTGACAGGTAAAAGAATTATACAGACTTTTTGAAATGTTGCAAATTATCATTGCCACCTTTTAGAAAGACTTTTGTTGTTAGCATGAATGGCTCTACAGCAATTTTAGGTATCATACGCTAAGATCTTCCCTCCTGTACTGAAACTTTCACCTTGTCAGGAGTGCTTAATTTGCAAAAGGCTGTTCACATTTCTCATTTGTAGTATGTATGCTTTACCATGGTTTTCTGGTAAAATAAAACTGGTTCCTTGTTCTCAGAAACTTGTTTGTATCTAGGCTAGTCTCAGACTTACCACGGAGCTAAAGATGACCTTGAATCTCTGGTCCCCTAACCCCTACTTCCCAAGTCCTAGGAACTGAATTCAGGGTTTCACACATGCATGTCAAGCACTCTGCTAACTGTGCTACATCCCAGGCTCCCAGAAACTGTTTTTAAATGTTTGATTCTCAGGTCTGAATCAAGTATCTTTTTCTTTGCAAGCAATCACATTTATTTATTTTAATTTTTATTGCTTTTTAAAATATTTTATGTGTGTGAGCTCACACATTATCTGTAGATGTAAGTGTTTGAGTGGGCATGTTTGGTCAGTGAGCACATGTGGAGGTCCAGAGGACTAATTGCAGTGGTGGATTCTCTTCCATCTTGTGTTGTGGGTCCTAGGGATGGAACTCAGGTCATTAAGCCTGATGGCAGATGCCTTTAACCATTGGGCCAGCTTGCTTGCCTTATTTACCTATCTTGTGTTGTCTGTGTGAGTATGGATACACACATGCCATATTGTAAGCATGGAGGTCATAGGACAACTTGTAGGAGTTGGTTTTCTCCTTCTACCATGTGTGGGTTTTTCAGGATTGAACTCAGGTTGTCAGGCTTGGTGGCAAATGTACTTGCTGAGCCATCTTGGTGGCCCACATTAGACCTCTTTAATGAAAAAAAAAAAAACCTTCCATTCTCCCCAGCCTCTTCCATATGGGAAAGCAGGCGGTTAAAAGGGAGTGCTGGCCCTGGAGCCCAATGTCTCCTTTTGAGTTCTCATTGCAAAACAGTACTCTGACCTGTTATTTAGCTCTGAGTTTGGTCTCATTTTTAAAATGAAGATAATACTGGTTCTCCCTCCCTGGATTATTATGAAGTAGCAGCAGCATATGAAGTACTTCTAAGCCTACATAAAATAACTCCCCAAATCTGAGCAATGCCATCAGTCTGGGGAAATACTGAGTTAATGTTTTAACTTCTGGTTTAACTAGCAATCAAGAGTGAAGAAACAAGTGAAGAGAGTCAGGAAGATGAAAACCAAGACATCTGGGAGCAGCAGCAGATGAGGAAAGCAGTCAGGATCACAGAGGTAAGTATTCTAGCTGCGAGCATCCTGAGGGCACTGTGACATTCAGTTTTACTTTGAAATTTTTGTTAGTTTGTTGGGGACACCCATGCCATAGTGCGTGAGTGGACGTCAGAGGACAACTTTGTAGAGTTGCTTCTGTCTTCTCAATGACTTAAAGTCTGGAGACAGACTCAGATCTCCAGGCACACATGTGCATGTATGTGCCCATACATACATGTAAATACACAACAATGTCATTTTAAGTAACCACACTCTTGCGGATTCTATTGGCATTCTTCAGCATGTGCCTGCATTTCTGTCTGCATCACTCACTGTATCACTCTGTCTCTCATGAGGACCCAAGTTACTGTGATCCCTTGTGCATAATCAGATCCAGTCCCACTCCCCAAAGCCTACTCAGATGTATCTGCTGCCATGTAAGGCAACATTGACATAAATGGAAGTATTATGGGGTTTCCATTAGCATACAGCAGCCAGTTACAGGTATGTGCCGTCTGCTTGAGAGACAGCTGAGGAAAATCACTGCAGTGAACTTATGTGCCACAAGTCTCAGTGTAGTCCCAGTGACATGGGAACATGATAGGCAGTTTTGTAAGAGAGTGGGCATATGGGGAGAGGGGACAAAAAGTTCTTCCAGAAGTGATCTTCCAGTGCGCTATTCAAACATATGCGTGAATTAGGGAGTACGAACCTGAAGGAACATCAGGACTATTTGGGATTTGCTGGTTAGAGTGGACATGGAAGAGGCTGGGTGACAACTGAGATGGGCTGTGATGCCTGGGTGTAAACAGAAGCGGTGGCTAAGTCTCTGCTCCGTGTCATGTTGCTAGTCTGAAATCGTGGCCTCTGAGAACCTGCTTTGTACTGCAAGTGTGGTGGTGGTCATTGTGGTCAGCAGGGAGACTGATGGGAGGGCTGTAGGATGTTCTCACAGGAGTGCATTCTCTGTAGGTTCCCAGCCCTAGACAGCCATGGTGTTACTCATTCACAGTTCTTCAGGAACTCCACGACTTTCCACAGTGCATCAGAATATCAGCAAAACTAGCCCTTGAAACTTCAGGAAATCGGAACTTTACAATTTGTCATGTCCATATGAATTTAATAGTTTAATAGTTTAATAGGCCACAGGTTCAGTCCTCAGTACTGCCAAGCTGGGGGTGGGGGGAGTGCAGTTTTTGATTTTGTTTGGTTTTGGTTTCTGTTTCTCTGGGACAGGGTCTCCATATGCAGCCCTGGCTGCCCTGGGACTTGTATGTTGATGAGATAGGCATCAAATGCATAGAGACCTTCCTGCCTCTTCTGTCTGGGTGCTGGATGATAAGGCATTTGCCACAGTGCCTGGCTGGAAAAATAGGCATTAATATATTCTAAGACTGTTGGGAGATTTTTAAAAATGTTTTATTGTGATCATGATATTGCAAGCATAGGGACTTTACTTAGTTTTCTTTATATTGTAAATGAAATGGTTTTTTAAAAGTAATTTTTCACATTTTCTTTTTTTTAGGGACAAAACATAGACCTTTCCCACAGCAGTAAGTCTCAAACCCTGAAGAAGTTTGATACTTCCGTTTCATTTCCACCAGTAAATTTGGAAATTATAAAGAAACAATTAAATAATAGGTGAGTAATGCTTATTTTGTAATTTATATTTATCCTAAGTGATTAATAGTAAAAAAAGTATTATGTTTTTCAATTATTATTAAACATTATTAATATTAAATTAATATTAAACAGATATTTAGGAAAAAATAAATCTCTTATTTTACCATTCAAACGCAGCAGATTTTTCTTTTTCTTGTTGGTCTTAATGACAAATACTCTTTACAGGATTAAAACTAGTAATTAAATTTTTTTTAAATATGACTATAGGCATTCTTCTATACTGCTAGATTTTGTCTTTAGAGACATGGTCTCGGCTTGTGTCCCAGCTGGCCTTGAACTCCTGTCCTCTGAGTTCCTAAGTTACAGGAACCTCTGTGTGCTTGAACCATGTCTCATCATGCTTACCTTCTACAGTATTAAATAGACACATTTCACATTTGTTCCTATAGTTAATTTATTGTAATTATTTCTCTGTTCTAAGTCTCATCTATGTGTTGCTATAGTAGTGAACATGTTGCTTTATTGTTGCCTTTGGATTTTTGAGATAGGGTCTTTTTCTATAGTCTAGGCCAGCTTCAGACTTAACTGTTGGCTTGTGTGTATGCATGTGGGTTTTGTTTGGTTTTTCTGTTTTGGGGGTTTGTTTGTTTCTTTTGTTTTGTTTTGTTTTTGAGATGGGTTTCTCTATATAGTCTTGGCTATCTTGGAACACACTCTGTAGACCAGGATAGCTTCAAACTCAAATCCACCTGCCTCTGTCTCCCAAGTGCTGGCATTAAAGGTGTGTGTCACCACACTCAGCTTTTTGTTTGTGTGTTTGTTTTTTGTTTTAATACATTAACAGGAGAAATTCACCATGACCAAGAGTTTACTTTTATGACTTGGTATGGTGTCTTCCTAAAGCACAAGCCTTTTTTTTTTTTTTTAAATATGGGCATTGATAAGTACTCCAAGCCAACAGTAATTACCTAATGACTGTGTATTTTCTAAAATTAAGGTATGTCCTGTCAGAAGCTGTTTTAATTATTTTATTATATAATGTACAGAGAATCTATTGTCTGCTGGTCTCTGTGTTTATGAAATAATAAGTGTGATGGTCAGGGTTTGGTCAGCCTATCTGACAGTTTGTTATAAGGGGTGCTGCCTTTTAAAGAACATCTTCATCACACACATACATGGCTCGTGTGTGGAGTCAGAGCACAACTTTGTGGAGTTGGTTCTCTTTTCCATCTTTTTGTGGGGTCTGGAGGTTGAGCCTGGGGCATCAGGCTTGTGCATTATCTCTGATCCAGCTCACTAGCTCAAGATGTGCTTTTTGTACATTTGAGAATAGGTTCAAATTTTCCTATATCAAAAGTCAGCTTTAAAGTAATTCAATTCCTCAATCATATTACAGAATATGTCACAGTAGTTGTGTGTTTAATTGAAGATATTTCTATATAAAAGTCACCTTAGCCGGGCAGTGGTGGCGCACGCCTTTAATCCTAGCACTTGGGAGGAAGAGGCAGGCAGATTTCTGAGTTCGAGGCCAGCCTGGTCTACAGAGTGAGTTCCAGGACAGCCAGGGCTACACAGAGAAACCCTGTCTCAGAAAAAAAAAAAGTCACCCTATAATATTATAAAATAAATATTTGAGATCTTCAGGTGTACGAGCACTCAGTGTCTGTTCTGTGGGATTGCCTGGCTCCGGCCCACCCTGTATTTGTAAATGAAGTTTTATTGGAACACAGCTCTGCCTGCATGTGTAGTGCCTCCTGTCGGTGATACAGCTCAGAGCTGAATATCTCCAAGAGCAATTACTGCTCTAAAGCTGAGACTGTTTACTGTCTGACCTGCACAGAATAAAGCTTGGAACTCCTGAGTGAGTGTTCTGAAATGGTAATGTTAGTGAAATTACTTCAGCAGTCAACATTATTCCTGAAGTCCACACATTATCATTTTCTGGCTTTAAGTAGCTTTCCTAAAAACAAGACAGAATTAAAGCTATTACAGCTAGAATTGTTTATATACCAAAACCCATATGGTGTTTCTTGAGGGATTGTCTCTGAGAGAATTGTCTTCAGAGTGAGAATTACAAAGACAGCGGGTCATGTAGATTAACGTTTCAGATCCTCTTATCTAAGTAAATGCTACTTTTATCTGTATTCTACTTCCAACTGCGTTCTTTATTTTAAAAGGAAAATACATTTTAAATGTTTTAGTTTTTGTTTTTTAATAAACGAGTACAAAATGATACCAAAAAGAATGTTTGCTTTCTGAAGGAAACTGTGTGCCACCAGCTTTTTATATTTCTTCTAGAAATTGCCTAATGTGTGTATTTATCTTATAGAAGTACATAGTATTTTACATTGCCCCACTTTTTGCAAAAAACCATTATACCTCATGCCTGCCTGCCCTTTTTTTTTTTTTTTTTTTTTTTTGGTTTTTCGAGACAGGGTTTCTCTGTGTAGCCCTGGCTGTCCTGGAACTCGCTCTGTAGACCAGGCTGGCCTCCAACCCAGAAATCCGCCTGCCTCTGCCTCCCAAGTGCTGGAATTAAAGGCGTGCACCACCACCGCCCGTCGTGCCTGCCTTTTCACATAATAGAATGCTTAGAAAATACTGCTATAGCCAATAATGCTCATTCTTGGAACCTCCTTGGTTTTTTGAGACAAGGTCTGTCACTGGCCTGGGACATTCCAAGCAGGTTGCTGGGATTATAAGTGTGCCTCCATGCCAACCTTCCTGAGTGGTTTTGGAGTTCTCACTCAAGTCCTCCTGCTTACAAGGCAGGCACTTTACTGACTCATCCTTCTCCCAAGCCTAGCTTGCTTGTACTTTTATCTCCATTAAGTAGGGAAGTTTTTTTAGACATGTAGTGTGTCTCCTCTAAATTTAAAAACAAGATATACTGCCTAAAGGCTAAATAATTTCTTTTCAGGACCATGTTAGCAGGATTAGTTGAATTAATTTTTTTGCCAGATTAAAGTCCATATACTTTTAATTTATTTCATTGTTTATTGATCTGGTTATTCTAAGGCATCCACAGAGTTCAAATGCTAGTAGGATGTATATTCTGATTCTGTGAAAGAAATATGTTTCATGTGTTTGTGTTGGTTTGTGTCTGTGGTAGGTAACATAATTTTAAAAGATGAACAGTCATTGAATTGATGTGTGTGGTATTCTCAAAAGCTAGACCAAGTCTGCTGTCTTCACTTTAGCAAAGCAGTGTAGGGTCATGCAACAGAGGAAATGGAATGAAGCCCATGTACAGCAAATTCTAGTTGGAAAATAATCACTCATGAATCAAAAACCAGATAAATTATACCAAACCATAAAATGTTTAAATGGTGTTAATGCCAGTTCATTCAGTTTTCCAAGCATGACAACAGATTTGTGTAAAAGTAAACACACAGGCTCCTTTGTTTCATATAAAACCTTTGGTTATTCTTGGAACTCACTTAATTTGTAAGTTCTGATCAATCTTAGCCTAAAATCAAGTCATCTTTTTGATACATAGTGAATTCAAGGCCATTTTGGGTTAAAAAGACCCAGTTTCAAGAAAAAATTAAATAAAACTTATGCCCACCTTCTGTTTCTAAGTCTCTGTAGGTGTTCTTCTTTTATCTTTCCCTCTTAAGAACAGTAATTATGATCTCCCTAGCTTCACAAGTCTAATAAATTGAGGTTTATATAGTAAAAATTTTCTCTGTGTTTGAAATCATCTTTATTAGAATACTGCTTAAAAGGAAAAGAATGAAAAATGAAACTTTTATTTTTCTTATTTTATTTAGATTAATGTTACTACAGGAGTCTCATCGCTCACACCAGAGAGAATATGAAAAATATGTACAAGACATCCAGAGTTCAAAGACAGCTATCCAGACTCTCGAGAGCACATCAGATCAAGCTCTAAACTACAAATTCTACAAAGGCATGAAAATTTATGTGGAAAATATAATTGATTGTCTGAATGAAAAGGTATGTATAAATATGCATGAAGAGAGACTCCCCATCCCCCATCAGTCAGTTAGTAAAGAAGAGACAGGCTGGGGAGATGGCTCAGTGGGTAAGGTGTTGTATAATCATGAGGTTCTGAGTTTTAATTCCAAGAAGCAAGTAAAAGAGGCAGTAGTGATGTGAGTTTTCAACAGGATCTTACTGTGTAACCCAGGTGGCTCATAATTCCCCTGCCTCAGCCCCTGAGTTCTGGGATTACAGTTATATGCTACCTCACACATTTTACCATGATATTGCACATTTCTCTTGATGTTAGACATGGGCCAAAGTATTCTCCAGAATGAATGGTGGTTTATTACTTTTTTACTAGATTAGTAAAAATGGATTTTGTAAAATATTGATTTTGATGACAGAAAAGTCCTTTGTATGATTAGTTGCATGTAATTTTGCCTGTGAACAAGGCTACAGTCTGAAGTTTAGGCTGTCTTGGAACTTACTGTGTAGCTGAAGTTGGCCTTATACTTGTGGATTATTATATCTCAGCCGCCTGAGTGCTGGGATGTCAGGTGTGTTAGGTACCATGCCCTGTGTAGATCTTTTTCTTCTAAATTCTCTTGAGTCCTTTGCTCTGTTCACACCTTGGTTCTTAGTGGTGATTTTTTTTCTCTTAATTTTTAGTGAATTTAAACAAATCTTTATGGTTTAAAACATTTTTTTATTTAATTTGTATGAGTGCTTTTGCCAGCATGTACATTTGCGCAGCACATGCATTCAGTTTCTGGAGTCCAGAAAAGAACATCAGATCCCCTGGAACTGGAGTTACAGTTGGTTGTGAGCTGCCATATGGATGCTAGGACATGAAATGTGCTCCTAGGAAGAGCAGCCCTTCCAGAGTGCTCTTAACCACTGAGCCATCTCTTTCCTAGCCCCTGGTTTAGAATGTTTAATGCTTATTCAGCATGATCCAAAATTTACACTTTTGTTTGTGATGGTTTTTAATAGTTATATGTTTAACATTTTTTACACCATCAGATTTTTAAATCTTTCATTTTACTTTCTGTTCTGTGCACACTCAGTCCTGTCATGAGATCCTCTGTTCCGTGCACACTCAGTGCTGACATGGGATCCTCTGTGTACTTTGCACACTCAGTCCTGACTTGGGATCCTCTGTGTTCTGTGCACACTCAGTGCTGTCTTGGGATCCTCTGTGCTCTGTGCACACTCAGTGCTGACATGGGATCCTCTGTGTTCTGTGCATACTCAGTGCTGACATGGGATCCTCTATTACCTTTTTGCAAGGTACTTTAAGCCTCAGAACTTTAAAAGAAAAAAATCATTAAAGTAGTTAAATTCTACTTCCTATATCTATTCTATCCTTAAAATGTTGCTTTGTCACCACGTTAAGTGTCAGTTGGTACTTGCTGTCTGTGGCATTTCTTCATTCATCCTTACATTACACGTTTAAACTCCTCCTGGCCTACATGGCGCTGCTGTAGCTATATTCCGGAAGCAGCAGGAATGAAGTAACTGCTCGGGAAGGAGGATTCCAGCTCCAGCTCGTCACACATTCTGGAGCTTAGCCCTCTCACCTGTCCCTAGTGACTGTCTTCCATTTTATGAAGTTTATTCTGGTGCTGGGACTCAAACCCAGGGCCTTAGACATGCTCAGCAGGCATCGTACACTCAGCTATAGTCCAGCCCCGTTCGTTCTTCAGTTTTTCAGATTTTACCCGCTTCTTCTGGTGTCTCCTCGCTATCTGTCCACATTTCCCCCTCAGCTTCTCAGACAAGGATCCTTCCTTTTACCCATCTCTCAGGTGCATGCTCCTCACCCCGTGTCATTTGGTTTCATAAACTGTGATGCTTGAACTAATATTGGAAGAATTGAATGTATACATGATGACAAATAATACCTTTTATACTTTTTATAATTCATTGTTGATGAACTACAATTACTACTTTTGTGTTTCAGATTATCACCATTGGGGAACTGGAGTCATCCATGTACACACTGCTTTTAAAACAGTCAGAAGCACTTCTGAAACGCAGGCAAGATGAGTTAAAATGTGAATCTTCATACTTGCAGCAGTTATCATGTTAGTGATTTTTTATATTCCATTATTTGTTAAGCTAAATTGCCATATGGAGAATAAAAATATCTTTAGTTCTATATATTTAAAAAAAAAACTACTTAGTTGGGTAGGGGTTACTCTTGCTGTGAAGAAACACCATGACCATCAGCAAGTTAGGGAGGAAAGGGTTTATTCCCCTTCCACTTCCATAGAACAGTTCGTCCTCAGAAGCAGTGAGTGCCAGAGCTCAAGCACAGAAACCTAGAGGCAGAACTGATGCTGAGGCCATGGCGGGATGCCGCATACTAGCTTGCTTTCTGAGACTTGCTCAGCCTGCTTTCTCACAGAACCATGGACAGACCCAGGGATGGCCCCACCCACCATGGGCTGGGTGCTCCCCATGAATCACGAATTAAGAAACTGCAGGCTTGCAGACAGATAGATCCTCTGGAGACATCTTCTCAGTTGAGGCTTCCTCTCCTCTGATGACTCTAGCCTGTTTTAGTTTGGCACAAAACTAGCCAGTACAAAAGCTTTTTCTAGCCGGGCAGTGGTGGCACACGCCTTTAATCCCAGCACTTGGGAGGCAGAGGCAGGCGGATTTCTGAGTTTGAAGCCAGCCTGGTCTACAGAGTGAGTTCCAGGACAGCCAGGGATACACAGAGAAACCCTGTCTCAAAAAACAAACAAACAAAAAAAGCTTTTTCTATATTTTCACACCAATCCTTCACACACACCTGGCATTTCAAGGAGGAGTTTCAGTATAGCTTATTTAAGGTTAAAAAGTAAATATTAGAATCTCCAGTCACTTAAGCATTTGAGACAGATTTTTTAAGTATATTTTTATGGGTATATGTGTGTACCTGAGTATATGTAAGTACATCACATGTGTGCAGGAGTGTTCAGAGGTCAAAAGGGGATAAGTTCCCCTGGGACTGGCAGCCTAGACATGTATAAGCTGCCGTGTAGGTGCTTGGAACTGAACCCTAGTTATCTAGGAAAACAGCTAGTGCTCTTAACTGCTGAACCATCTCCCCAGGTCCCTTGACACAGATGCCATTCAATGAGCAGAGAGTGGTTGGAAACACAGACTGGTGGGTCTCAGCAGGGTTGGTAAGGAGTGGCCACTCCGCTTCCTCATGCAACAGTGCTGCTGCACTCGTGTCTTAGCTCGGGTGCTTAGGGAAGGTGGGTGACAGGATGTTAGCAGTATAAATATCTCTAGTATGTGCCTCTGGAGGAGATTGGGATAAACTGCTAGGAAAGACACCTGCTTTGGTAAATGACACACACAGAAAGGCCATGTGCTTAGGCCAACAGGCTTGTTGGCTGTGAACACCGATAGTTAATGGACATTACGTTGTATGGCATAACAAAATGTACACTTTGAGCACATTACGTGTTCTTACATATACACACACACATAGACTTCATGAAGTTACCTGTAGCTTCAGTGATTCACCGTTTTGAGACTGTAGTACAAAGCTAACTTTGTGAATTAACAGGCAACGATGAGACATCGGCAAATGGAAGCTTGGCTCTGGATGAAAAGGATCAACGGATTTTAGAAGAGATTGAAGCTCGAAGGTATCTGTATAAAGTGCAGACCTAACACACTGAGCAAGGACTTGCCACTATTTCAGTAGGATTAGCTATGTGATAATCACCCAGCCTGGTATCCCAGTTTCCAAGAATGATGTAAAACCAGAGCTGAGTTCGTTCAGCTGGCCTCCAGCTCAGAAACAAACTGGGGCTCAGGTAGACTTGGTGAGGTGGCCTTTGTTAGGATTGCCTTGAACTAGAAAGCACCTCTAACTAGTGGACTCTCCTTAGGAAACCTTTTCATCCAGAGAATGACCTAAGCTGAACACTAGAACCAAAGCAGCTAAGGAAGCAGAAAGTGTCCGAGAAGAGTCACATAAAATGGTGTCAGTACGATGATGTGTCCATTGTAAAATAACAACATTGTTGATTTACTTTACTTTATTTCACAACACAGGATGCAGAGAAGACAAGCAAGAGAGCTCTTGGGCAACTGTGACCATCAGGAAGGGACGTCTAGCGATGATGAGCTGTCTCCTGCAGAGATGACTGACTTCCACAAGCGCCAAGGTCAATTGCCAAGATTCTAACCTATTCTGAAATGTTGAAATAGTGAGGAAGGCTTTGCTGTGGCTGCCTTTAAGTCCATATTAGTAAGACAGGAAAATTCAAGAAAGATGGAAACATTTTCTGCATAAGACTTGCTGCCTCTGGAAAGGCAGTGGTGTAAGCACCTGCTCCCAGGGCTCCTTGCTGCTGCCTGCTGGGTTACAGAGGGCTCTGCGGCTACGCTGCTTTCCTTGTATGGCTCCATCTGCAACTTAAACAACCAATTCAGTGAAACTACTTTTAAAAAGCACTTTATTGTAATGAACTCAGATTAAAAGCATCACAAAGCTCAAACCAGACATCTGCCAACTTCCTAACACTGCATCTCAGTGAAGTCTACAGTTAGCATGGCGGTTCTGAAGCCTCTTAGGTTTCTGTACTTTCACTAGCAGTTACATTTTGTTTTTCAAGGTTTTCTTGGTTTGTTTGTTTGTTTGTTTGTTTGTTTGTTTTTAAGGTTTATTAAAGGTGTAGATGCCCTGATGGACAGACTGGGCAGGACCCAGTGCGCCTGTCCTAGAGCAGTGCTGTCCCACACACCCTTCAGAGTGTTGTCCTAGTACTGTTGAAAGTTGTTGCATCTTGAATTGATGTGGAGTACTAAGACTTGGGTTCCCCACCCTTTCAATGCACATACATACATACATGCATGTACACGCATGTACACACAAAGGAAGAAACTATGATAGAACTGAAGTAGAAAGGAATGTGTCTAACTCTGTGAACTCTTTCATGACTGTACCCTTTACCTGTATTTTTATCCCCTAATATTGCCCTTTCTTGTCCTCCTTTCTAAGTGCTACGCTGTACCTACACTTGATACATATGCAGTGTGGGCTAGGATCTGCATAGGAGAAAGAATAGGGGGCACTTCCCTTTCTGAGATTAGGTGACCTCTCTTAACAGTATACATCCCAAGTCCATCCATTTTCCTGCAAACTTTGTGATTGTTTTTCTTTAGCACTGAATAGTATTCCATGTTGTATATATACCAAGTTCTCGATATCAGTTCAGATGAAGATGGGCTTCTTGGTTGGTTCCATTTCCCTGCTATAGAGCATCAGAAATCTCTATGATAGGATATAGAGAGCTCTGGGTGTGTGCTTAGGATTAAAATAGCTGGGTCATTTTTAAGTTTTTGAGAAACCTCCAAACTGGCACCAACAGTGAATAAGGCTCCTTTCCCTCACATCTTCTCCAGCATTTGCTGTTGGATTTCTTGATGGCCTTTCTGACTGGGTTGAGGTAGAGTCACAAAGTAGCTTTGTGTTTCACTGGTAGCTAGGGATGTTGTGCTGCTTTAAAATTTGTTATTGGCCTTTTATGTTTCTTCTTTTGAAACTGTTCAGTTCCGTAGCTCACTTGTCGATTGGCAGTTTCATTTCCTTGGTTTTTTATTTCTGTGGGTCTTGTTGAGTTCTGGATCCTAACGCGGTTCTGAATACAACTGGTCAGGCTTTTCTCCTGTGCTGTGGGCTGTCTATGCTCTGCTCATGAGTGAAACTACTTACAGTGGTATGAGAAGGCTCATAGTGCACCTCTTTAAAAGATTCTGGGCTTTGCTGTTCACTAGACTCAATGGAAAGGGGCTTTTTTCCTTGCCCGCCTCAGTTTGGTATTCTTTGCTCGCTTTGTTTAAATCAATGTATCATCTCTGCCTTAGGGAAGAGAGCTATGGTAATGAAAGGAGACAATAAGTATATGGCATTTTGGCATATAGTCAGGGACTCAATACACAGTAGGCTTTATTAGTGTCGATATTATCACTATTGGTATTAAGGTGACTTTCTAAATAAAATGAATATAATGAAAGATAAAAGTTTCCAGCCTAGTTGGTTAAGTAGCAGCTCTTGACCGTTGGTAAGGAAACAGTCTTTAACATGCATAACATAAAGAGACTTACTTTGTTTGCAGGTGACATTTTACAGGATTGTAAGAAAGTTTTTGAAGATGTGCATGATGATTTTTGTAACGTCCAGAATATTTTATTGAAATTTCAGCAGTGGCGAGAAAAGTTTCCTGATTCCTACTATGAAGCTTTCGTTGGTTTCTGCTTACCAAAGCTTCTAAGTCCCCTGATACGAGTTCAGTTGCTTGACTGGAATCCTCTCAAGGTATCGGTGTTTAACATGTGCCTGTCCTGGTCATGTTAGCTGCTTCGGTGCCCTTGCTGCCAGGTCAGGTCTAAAATACCACAGCCTCAGCCTGGCAGGATGGCTCAGCATACAAAGGTGCTTGCTGCCGAGGAGTATGGCCTGAGTTTGGACTCTGAAACCCATGTGATAGGAGAGAATTAATTTCCACAAGTTGTCCTTTGGCCTTTTACACATGCTATGCCCCCCGACCTCCCCGCACAAATGAACATCGTTAAAAAGTAAAAACAAAACCATTTACCCTTAAATTTAGAGCCTTGGAGCAACTGTCAAGAAATGTATACTCTGAACTATATTACTTGGGATGCTTACATGATTTGTGTCAGGGTAGGGGAGTGGAAGGAAGGAGACAGATCAGGGACAGACAGACAGACAGACGGAGACAGGAAGAAAACTTAGGGCCTTCTGTATGCTAAACAATCATCAAACCATTGAGCTTCATTCCCAGCCATCTTGCTCGATTCTTAAGGCATAGCAAGACATCAGTAATTCAAACACATTTTTAATATTCTTATAATGTGTGAAAATTTCCCTAGAATTATGTAGTAGTAAGTTTGGTTAAATTTGACTTAAAAATCTGTTCTGAGGATTATGAAGTTGGAGATGACAAACTGGGAAGAGTTGGTTAGCAAAACACTGAGGAGGAAGACTGTAAGAGAATCCTTAGGGGTATGCAGGAATTTGTGGGGAATACACTTTCTTTAAAGTGGGAGAAATGCCAATTCAGAGGTGAGTACACTGGCCTTCAAACCTAGATTCAGAGCTGAGAACTCATTTTTGAAAGTAATAGGAAATATAATATAGGGAAGGTAATATGGAGTTGGTTTGGTTTGGTTTGGTTTTGTTTTGTTTTGTTTTGTTTTGCTTGTTGAGACAGGGTTTCTCTGTGTGGCCCTGGCTGTCCCCCTGGAACTCACTCTGTAATAATGCTAGCCTCAAACACAAGAGATCTGCTTGCTTCTGCCTCCTGAGTGCTGGAATTAAGGGTGTGCACCACTACTGCATGGTACTAATGTGGAGGTTTAAAAATGTTTTATTACATATATTTGTGTGTGTGGCAGTGTGTACACATGCCATAGCATGCATGTGGAGGCCAGAGGACAGCATATGGGAGTTGGTTCTCTCCAGTATATGAGTCTTAAGGATCCATCTTAGGTCATCAGACCTGGCAGCAAGTGCCTTTATGCTCTGTGTCATCTCAGGGACTTGAAAGTAATGTTTAGGAAGCCACTAGAAATAGCTGGATCCTGCATGCTAAAGAATGAAGCTCTGTAAGGAAAGCTCTCAGCAAGAGCTTACAGAGTAAATGATAGAGGGCGTCAGCACCTCTTCCTTGGTCTAATCATGTGTCTGCAGGCTTCCTAGGACCACATCACCTTCCAGGGTAGAGCAAGGTCATTTCTGTGGAACTATTAGAGAATGAGTGGGCATCACCCGGGGTTAGCCATTCTGGATCATTTCATTCATCTACAAGTACTAGTAGCCATTTTGTGTTTGCTGATTGGCTAACAAACTAAATCACATGCACATTACACATTTATTCTTAAGTGAAAGGACTGAAGTCAGTTTTGCTTGAGGCAGATGAATGAATTTTACCAGTGATTTTTGTAGCAATTCCAAGTACCTAACTCAAACATGTTATTTCACTCCGGTCAGATCGCTGCCATTGCTGGTCTCTGAATGTGCTGGCACACAGTGGGCCTTTGCCACATTTTTGTTGTATGGATGAATGCATGAAACCCAGTTCTTAGCTACTCTGCCTCGATGCTGGGATGCTGTGCCTCCTGCCTTACCTTGGTGGTCTGATACATAGTAGTAAAGCATGTGATTATTCTCTTTGAGCCTTGGGAAAAGTCTAGGAATTTTGGAAAAAGTTAACTTACAAAATCCACACATTTAAGAATGTATAACTTTTCTTATCTCATTTTATAGAAGGACTCCATAGGTCTAGACAAGATGCCCTGGTTCACAGCCATAACAGAGTTTATAGAGAGCAGCATGGAAGATACAGGAAAAGAAGATGGTTCTGATAAGAATATCTTGTCTGCTGTCATCAACAAAACAGTTGTTCCTTGCCTTACAGGTAATCTCAATTCTGTTATAATCACAGATATACTTTTAGAAGTTTGGAGATGTAAGGAAATACTGTATGTATTCAAGAGCAATAGATTTCAAATTGACCTGGTTGGAAAATGCTTGTTTGTTCAAATATTGGCTGTCCACAGTAGTAGTGGTAGTATTTGACCAGAATATTTTTACCATATTCCAGAGAAATTAATTTTGAACTTGACTAAACTTTGAAGATTATTATTCATTCTAGACAATGATATTCTTTTTAACTCTTGTATTTGAGCCATCCATCCCATGGCTAGCGAGCATTGGTTCTGTGTGTTCTGAAGACAGCACTCCCAGGGTGTGCTGAAAGATAGCACAAGTGGTGGCTGTGCTGCATTGGATGCAGGTCACAGAGTGGGTGTTAGATGGTTGCTGAGTATACCGTATGTCAAGGAGTTGAGGCAGGAGACAGCTGCATGTGGGTGGTACTTAATGCCACAAAGTGATATGAAGTATTAAGGAAGTGAATGCAAGAAGGAATGATACTGAAATGACCTCACTCCTAAGGTCCTTTTTGTATTTAAAAGTCACAGAAGTAACAAGTACCAGCAAAGACCAGAGAGGATACAGGAGGACAGTCAAAAGAAAGTATTTCCCAAAGTATTTCCAAGGAGAATGGTGAGGCCTAGTTGTAGTTGTTGACAGTAGTCACACAGGATTAGAATCAAACTTTGGAGCTGGCTATGCAAATGTCCTGCGTGACTTGAGAGATACACTCTCCACTCTGTGGAAGGTGCAGAATTGAGAGGATTCCAGAAACAAACAAAGAAAACTATGAGTAGACATCTAGACAGTACTTTGAGGAATTTTATTTTAAAAGGAAACAGTGGACGTTATTGGAGAAAATACTAGGGGTTTTGGAGCTGGAAGACAGTGCAGTGTTTAAAACTCTTGCCATCAATAGTGAGGGCCAGCATCGAGATCCCCAGAACCCACATAAAAGGCCAGCATCCAGATCCCCAGAACCCACATAAAAACATGCTAGGCATGGTGGCTGGCATATAATACCAAGAGTTTGTAACATGGAGACAGAGGATCCCAGTAGCAAGCTGGCATGCCAAACTGGCAGCCATCAGCCTCAAGCTTCACAGACAGACAGACAGACACACACACACACACACACACACACACACACACACACACACACACA